CAAATTCTCCCCTTAAATCATTTCATTAAAGCAAACAAAAAGAACTTACCAGGTATGCCAGTCTATGCTTGGAACCACAAACATGCATGAACATGTTATTCAGTCCGGTCTTACAGCAGCACAGTTGACATTCATAGAGGAAAGGAAAATTGTCTTTTGATCGGTACTCAATTATATAATTAAGCCCTGGATTAATTAAAAAAAAAAAAAAAAAAAAAAAAAAAAAAAAAAAAAAAAAAAAAAAAAAAAAAAAAAAACAAAAAAACAAAAAACAACTTAGGAAATAAATCATTGGTGCTAGTTCCAAAATAGACATTAAAGGAAAGGATTACTCAGTGTAACCATAATGAGCTTTTATTACACATTACCTGATTTTACATTTTAAAAACTAATCCATACTCCTTAAAGGTAAACATCATACAAGCAAACAACTACAGTATTAAAAGCCCTCACCAAGTGCAGGTTCTGAATCTTTACATGTATTAAGCTGTTCTTCCAATGTCTGTCCATGAAACCTCTCTGGTTCAGTTTGCACTGTAAGAAATTCACATTCAAGTGAATCCCTGCTCAGACATGGTCCCACATCACAAATTAAGTTTAGTTAGTTATTATAAAACATTATCCCCCCCAATCCTATTTTCACTCGTTTTAGACCATTAAGTTTGCAAATATTGTTTTAAGTATTATTACAAAATATTACTGAAAATGGAAAGTACAATGAACAGAAACTAATAATTCCCAATGACCTGCTAAGGTCTAGACACCATTTGTAATATTGTACCTCAATATTTTTTATTTCTTCCTTTTTTTCTTTCTTTTTTTTTTGGTGGGGGGAGGGGAGTGAGCATTAAATGTTCTTACCATAATCAGGAAGTTTTACAGGTGTTTTCACTTGCTCCCCAGAGCCACTGGCTGTTTTAACTAAAAAAAAAAAAAAAAAACAAACAAAAAAACAACAAAAACCCTCAAAACCAAACCAAACCAACAAACAATAACAAAAAAAAAAACACCCCAGAAATGGAAATAAAATTGTTAGTACAAAATCCAATTTGGTATGATAGCAGATTTTTTTTAGAGAAAACTGTCTGAGCTTTTGTTGACATGAGAAAACTAAGCTATGTTTAGTTTTGAATGTGCTATGAGATATTTTTTTGGCAAAAGATGGACAAAAAACATTCACAACAAACAATAACAAAGTTATTTAGTTTTAGGCAATTCAACAAAGCAGGCAAAGAGGAAGACCAATCAAATTCAGTGTCTCTAAACATTTCAGGGCATCTAATAATTTCAGGGCATTAATTTCAGCAGCATCCAGCTGCCAAATATTTAATCACTTAAATTTCCTTTATGTCCAAACAAAAATTCCCAGATTGGGTAGGTGCAATGACTACGTATAACTTGGCAGTGACTTTCAAGCCAAATTCTAGGAGCAGTTCACTGCAGAAACCTGTAAATACATTTTGGTCCATCAGGAAACTGAAGCAGAAAAACAATTGTGAACATAGTTAGACCTCCATTCCTTCTGAAATTAGACCAGTTCATAACGACCCAGGGAAGGTTTAATGATATCTTAAACCTATTAAAAGGACTATGCTTTAACTAATTAAGATATTTTAAGTAATCTAAGATATTTTTGATAATCTCTTTTAAAAATAAATATGAAGTATATACATTTCTACATGCGCTAAGAAATATAATTTTAAAAAATATATTTTAAATATTGAAGGTGTCTAAGGTCTTGAATTCCTTAAGGTTTCTCAAAACTTTAATGTGGGTGATTTTTAGTATTGTAGCTAGTGCTTATTAATCAATTTTGCATACCTCTTGCTCATATTATTGATTGATTTACGTAGTATTAGACAGTTACGTCTTTAAAGAACACAAGACTTTTCTGTCTTAAAGCACAATCTTGAGAAAGTCTTTTTCTCATTTGTTTCATAAACAATTACATTGGGACAGGGAGAAAGACGCCGATACAGAACACAGCAGGAAGTAAAAAATCTTGCACTTACCAATGCCATGAGCTTTCAATGCTTCTTCTACCTAAGTTACCAAGTTATCAACCAACAATGAAGAAAGATACTTAAGATTTAAAAAACAACAATGCAAGGCTTTTATTATTTATAAAATAACTTAGATTAACACCAGCACCCTAGACTATCTAAGGTGAACAGAAATTTGAAAAAGATAAATGCCCTTTTTTTCTGAGATTGTTTATTATTTAAGTAATTCTGTTCTGTATTTATTAACAGCCACATATTCTCATGTATTGTCTTCACTAGACACAAAGTTGTAACATTTTCTGACAGAACTAATGTACTGTCAGTAGAACCAAGTTCTACTTTATTGCAGTAAACAAGATAGTAAAGCAGCAAAACTAGTTAAATATCTGAAACTACATGTTTTACGACTACATTAAAAACTAGAATTCAAACCCATATTCTTTGCTAAATAAATCTGTAAAATCTGACAAAAGGTTCATTCAAAAACTGATCTTACCGTCTTGTGTTTGAATCCAAGGAAGTGAGTCTGCAAGTTTAGTGCAGAAGCACACCAGATTTTGCAAATCTAGATCAAAGAGAAGTATTTCTAGCATTGCACAAAAACAAAAAGAAATAGAATACCACTGATACCAAAACAGATCTACTGTCAGTACATGTAAGTTCCACAAAAGTACTATTCCTCCAAAAACAAACTAAAACAGCCTCTCAGAACTTTTCTTTATGAGCCTCCAAGACAGCAGAATGAAGAGGAATCTCCACATCACATAAAAATTTCAGATGTCTTCAGAACTCTGCAGCTATCTCATAACATTTTCTCTGTGTGGATAAGACATATCTAAGATCTTCCTCATGCACTCTTAAACAAGTCTGAGCCAGAGGCACAGCATAATTGTCACAAGCCAGTACACCTGTCTAAGATGAGCCAGTTCGCAGTGTTGCATCCAAATTAACACAGTTAGTCTGATCTTTTTGGGGTCTGCTTCACTCAGGTAGCTTTCCACATAGCTGGTTTATGCCTGGGCCAGTTCAAAACAGGAGCAGACTATGTTTAAATTCATGTGAATGAACAACGGCAGTCCAAATTACTTTCTTCTCCTCTGAAAAACCCAAGATGCTTAAAACCAATAGCAATAAATCTGCCAACCAGAGAAATTAGGATTTTTTTTTTTCTGAACAGGAGCTTCAGTTTAATCTTCCACTTTAAAAAGAATGCCTTTATTTAGAAATATAATATTATTAAAATTATTCATTTTAATAAGTTGGTTCTTAACACACATCCAAGTCAAAGACAGTAAAATAACTTCAATTCTAGAGCTATTTATCAATTTTCCTCAAGAGAAAAAAACAAAAGCAAAACCAAAAACGTTCATACTTGGTTTAGTACAACTTTGTTCCACCAAAATTATTTTGTATTAGTTACAATTTTCAATAAGAAATACTTACATTGCAGTAGTAAGGGTTTACTTGCTTCTTTATCTCAGTTTCAGGGTCCATATTCAGTCTTTAGATAATAAAAAAAGTCTGGGAAAATTGCAGAAAGATTGCAAACTATTGTTTTAGCTTCACAAAATCATTTTTATTTTTTGTTCCGCCTATCTAAGGAATTCGTGCCTCGCCTTCAGTTACGCTCAGCCCTTAAATCTCCAGGCTAACGATCCTATTTTTAACTTGGGAGCAAAAGTACAGCGCGGAAAGAAACAATTGTTCTCCAAGAGTTTCCCTCGGGAAACATAAAAGTCGCCAGAAGATTACGCACACAGCCCTGAAACAGAACTAATCTGGACCATTTAGAGCTTCCCCTTTCTTTCCTGGGATAGAACTGCGCGCATGGGCTGGGACAGATGACACACACAGAGGGAAGAGCCAGCACGGAGCGCCCGGAGCGTGTCCCTGGCACAGGGGGGGACACGGCGGGCTTTGGGAAGAGACGCACGGTCCCACCCGGGCCGCGGGGGGGAGGGAGGAAAGGAGAAAGGGAAGGAGAAAGAGAGGAGAGAGGGACGGCCGAAGCTCCAAACCCCACGCGAAGAGAGGCTCCAGGCAGGAGCGTGTCCTTCCCGGCACTTCCAGCCCCGCCGGGGAGGACGTGGGCACCTGCTCCCGCATGGAGCCGGGGACACCCGGCTCACGGCGGCGGCCCGGGAGCGGGGGGTACCCGGAGGAGCCGAGGCAGCCGGCGCTCCCCTCCGCCGCACCGGCGCCTGCCCGCCGGCCGCCCGGCCGGGGGATGACTCCTCGCCGCTGCCCCGGCTCTCCGCGGGCAGGAGCCGCGTCACGGCGGGCGCGGGAGCCCCGCGGTGGCGGGGCAGGGACCGCCGCGGTGCCGGGCGCCGGGATCTCCGCGCCGGCGGGCGGGGACGGGGCGCGGCGGAGGAGCGGCCGCGGTTGCCCCGGCGCGCTGCCCGCGGCCGCCGCTGGGGGCGCTCCCGCGCAGGCCCAGCGTCGCAGCGCCGGGCGCTGTCGGAGGTAAAGCCCGAGCTGGGTCCGCGGCCGCCGCACCGGGGCGGGGAACCCATCCTGCCCCCCCGCCGGAGCGGAGCGGGATGGGCGTGCGGGATGGAGACGGGGATGCGGGATGGGGACGCCGCGCTAGGGACGTGCGTCCCGGCAGCTCCGCCCGCGCCCGGTGCAGGCGGGGCTGCCCTCCCGCTTCCCGGCGGCCGCTTCCCGGGTGTTCGCGCGCCGCTCCCCACAACGCGCACACGGACACGCGGACTTGCACACCCCGCGCCCGCCTCCCCGCAGCGCCGCCGCACCTGCAGGCTCGGGGATCCCCCGGGATGTGTCTCCCCGTGCGGGAGAGGCGGCGTGTCCCGCCGGGAGAGGCCGGTGCCGCGCCGCCCGCGCTGCGGCGGGGCGGGAATCCAGCGCGGGGTTTGCGGGGAGCTGGAGGGAGCGGTGGCGGCGACCTGCGGGCGGGGAGGTGAGGGAGGCGGGGAAGGAGGGACGGATGGGAGGGAGGGAGCCGGGAGAGGCGCTTTGTTAGGCGGAGGGAGCGAGCGGGGCCGCAGGGTGGGGTGTTCCCCGCCGCCGGCGCCGGTCCCCGCGGGCGCGGGGTGACAGCAGCGCCCGCCGCGGATGCGCTCGGATCCCGCCGCAGCCTCCGCGCCCGCCCTGGGTGGAGCGGCCGCCTTTGTGGAGCCAGGACCTGCTCTCCTTTCTCCTTCCAGCAGAAGAGGAGCTAGCGTGGAGATTAAAAAAAAAAAACAAACCAAACCAAAAAAACAAACCAAAACCACCAAAAATCCACAAGGCTCGAATTAATGTTTGAGAAGTTCGGGTTCGGGAGAGTCTGGTAGGATTCCTATATTATGCGTATTTTTGATGGATTTCAGGCAGTCGTTTGGAATAACAACCTGCGTCCATTACCTTGCGTGCACAAAGTGCTTTGGATGTCCTCCATAGGTAGCGGGATGACCCGCATGAAATCTGTCTCTGTGTATATATAGTCTAATATCCTATTTTTTTAAAAAATACATTTCCGTGTATTGGTATATAAAATTCGACAAGATAAATTTAGGCAAAGTACTGTGATTTTATACTAATAGATAGTTTTGCTCGTTTGCCGGATGATCCATGATAACTCTTCGTTTGTATTAAAACAGGGGTGGGGGGGTGGGGGGAGGGTTAGCACCCAAAGAGGTGGGATTTTAAAAATCTGATTAAAACACAATTTCCATATAGATCTTATTCATATTTGGAATGTACACCTAATTAACTCTCAAGGTAGACAGGGTCAGGCCTGAAACGTTAGTGGAAGCTCAGTGAGAAAAACCTAACATTTGAAGAAGAAGAACACTGTTTACTTCTGGTTCTGTTATTCAAATGAAATATAAACCTGTTGTTGTGACTAGTTGGGGTTGTTCCCATGCCTTCCTTTCACCCTCAAACAGTGGATGAAAAGACAGAATTATGATTGATTTCTGAATATGCTTGAAGCTTCGCCTGCAATTTAAGTTGGATACATAAATATTCTTTTTTTTCAGTCCTTGACTATTTCTGGTAGTAATTCTGTTGGTGTTGGTACATGTAAATAATTCTCACACTGTGACCACAGTTTGCTGTTTTCTTTGGGTTTGATTAGTGTAACCTTAACATTTGGGTTAAGTTTTCCACCATAACATTCTCTCTGCATTTTCTTATGCCTAAAAATTATATTTGATGGACTGAAGATGCTGCTCATACATGCCAATCTGAAGGGCTTCTTTGCAACTGATTGGAGTTTGGGTGTCTGTTTAGGTGTGTGCAAGCAAAATAATACATATCTGTAACATGGTTATGAACATGTGTGCACTTCTTAACTTGTGTCATTTTTTTTCAAGATATTATTCCAGCAGATCACAGCACACACCCTATAGTTTTTAAAAGAAAGCAGCAAAAAGTGCTTTAAAAATAAAGATGAGGAACTGAGAGATATTTGTGTTACCTTAAAGCTGTAAAGGTTTTTGTGAGAGGACAAGTACTTAGAACACTGTTTTCTTTTAAGGCAAGTTGTGAATTGAGTCATGCCAGGGGAAGATATATAGGATAAAGTGCTTCCTTACTGCAAGTGTCTTGGAGGCTTGGCACCTGTAAGAGTGGGAGAAGCTTTCCATTCTTTGTTTCTTAGAATTTACTCTGCAGCTGTCCTCATGCACCCACACAAATCAATCCTGTTTACTGTATGAGTTATACACAGTAAAATACTTTCAACACAGATTCCTACCTACTAAATTATATCCTGGGCATATGTCCTGGAAGGATCTCTTGGCCCTGAAATGGAAATTCTGTGGGCTTGTGAGAGTCCTTTCTCGTATTCTGCAGAGGAGTCAGTGGGCTGCCAGAAGGTGATTAATATGCATAAAGAAAAAGAGGTGAATATAAATATATAGTGGTGTTTTGCTGCAACTTCTCAGCATACTAAATTCTCTGACATCTCAGAGTGCTTTCTGTTCACCTAATTGCAAGTGGGCTTTAATACTGAAGCAAGCAAGCTAAGCATGTAAGAGCTTGAGAAGAATCTTCAAGAATTCTTTTCTTCTGTGCAGTAAGCACATAAAACCGCTCACACCAGTTCTTGGGTTCTTTTATGCATCCTAGATCATAATCCTGGCTTCTTCACAGAAAGGACACAGGTACAGTGTGTATGTGTAGGAAAAAAATATTAGGAATGTGAAAAGTGAAAAGAAGACTAATATATTCTTCTCACTGTAGGACCTATGTTTCCTTACTTAAAAGTACAGTATTTTTCAATTTCTGACTGGGGATCTCAGGTGCTACCACAGTAAAAATAATAGAAATAAATGATAGTGTGATATGAAAGTGGTACTTAAGTTTGCTGTGGCTCCATCCATTAAAAAATTCTAGCATATAATTTGTTAATACATATGAAGTCATATTTGGAAATGTTTTAGATATTTACTGACAGCAGTTTTGTCTGCCAACCTATGTAGCTAGATACTTAGCACCTGGAATCCAAAAGTCCTAGTAACATTATTTAACTTTTTGAAGGTACTTTCCAAAGTACCTAATGTCTCTAATTAAAAGGATTTTCTACACACAAACGTAATGATTTTTTTGTCCGGGATTCTCACACCTTTTCAAAGCTAGAAATAAGATTTACATGCATCAGCAGAAGGTAGAATCATTTCTGGTCACACGGAGTTTCTGACTCTGGTTTTTCAAGGGTTGTAAGCTATTGGATCTTAAGAGTTGCTGGTGGGACTGCACTTCATCCTATTGTTTGATGGAATTGAGGCTAAGAGAGAGCACCAATATTTAGTCCCGAGAATTTCATTTCAGCAGCTATCCAAAGCAGCTTAATGGTTTGGAATGGTACAATAGCTATGTAAGTAAAATAGATTATGGATAGAGTCTATCCCATTATAGTCTCTCTTATTTTATATGTTTTCAGAGTTGTTTCATGGAGCAAAGTTGCCAGTTTTCAGTATCTTTGTTAGGATGTCAATTTCCTGACTTTTTTTCTTTTCCTCTTTTCTTAATTTATGTTTTATTTAAGGAACTTCTGAAGCAACTGTTCTCCTCTAGTAGACCTAGACATTATAATGTCTATGTGATGTATGTATGCAATGAAAGAAGTTTCTTTGCTTATGCTTAGTTTGTTCTGTGAGATTTTAGCTGTTTAAGAATTCCTGTCACCAACGTGTGGGGTGACTTAAGTTTTCACAGACCATAAAAAAATAACTTGATATAGTATGATGGAGGAAATACTGAATCGGGAAACTGTCTTCCTTAAGTTCAGCCCCCCAGCTCTCATCCTTCTTCCACTTTTTTCTTTCATGTAAAATAAACAAGCTGTTCTGTGAGCAGTAGCGCTATTAAAGTCTGGTTTCCTTTGGAGCTTTCGCTTAGTCCTCTAAATCCAATCTGCTGTAAAAACTGCAGTTCTCCCATGTCCTCATGACACCAGCATTTGGTAAGAGAGAGCAGAACTGGGGCTACCCAGGAGCCACATAGGTTCTACCTGCCCAGCAATTACCCAGTCGAGCAGTGGCAGGAAGTACAAACCGAGTGTTTCTTGCCTTTTTCAGTAGGGCTACAGCTTAGATACTGACTTAACTTAGACTTAGGCTGTTACTTATTATTCCTTTTGTTTTTCTTCTTTCATTTCAGTTTTGCTATTCCAGGCTTTGTTCTACTGCCTCCTCTATTCTTTGACTCCTCTTTGTTTTGCTGGTGTCACAGTTTAACCCCAACCAGCAACTAAGTACTGCCTAGATGCTTGCTCACTCCTTGCTCCCAAGTGGGATGAGGAGGAGAATTAGAATAAAACTTAAAACTTGTGTGTAGAGATAAGAACAATTTAATAATTGAAACTACGTAAACTATAATAATACTTGTAATGAAAAAGAGAGAGAAAGAGGAACAAAACTCAGGAGAAACAGGTAAGGTGCAATGGAACTGCCCACCACATGGTGACTGATGCCCAGTATTTCCCTGAGCAGCAGTGGGTGGATCCCAGCCTACTGCCTCCTCATTTATACGCTGAACATGACACTTTATGGTGTGGAGTATCCCTTTAGCCAGTTCAGGTCAGCTGTTCTAGCTGTGCTTCTTCACAGCCTCTTGTGCTCCTGCTTGCTGGCAGAGCATGGGGATGCTGAAAAGTCCTTGAATTAGAGTAAGCACCACTGAGCATCAACTGAAGCATCAATGTGTTATCAACATTATTCATATACTAAATCCAAAACACAGCACTGTACCAGTGACTAAGATGAAAATGAACACCGTCTCAGCTGAAACCAGGACAGCTGCGTTTTGTCATATTTTATGGGCTGCTTGAGAAAACTGCTGTTTTTATGTCAGACTCATGTTCTCATTTTGACATTAGCTTGTCTGTTAGCTTTCTTTATAAATAGAAGTAGTTACCTTTACTGAAAAAGTTGAGAATACCTGTAAGTATTAAGATGTTTGGAGGAAAGGGATTACAAGAATGGCACAAAGTAAGTCCTGGTGCAGTGGAGTTAAGGAAAAATACATTGAAAAGAGGAAACCTGATGGTGATATCTAGTGCATCGCCAAGTAATGTTATGAGAGAAGTATCACAGAATCACAGGAACATTCTGAGTTGGAAGGGACCCACAAGGATCACTGAGTCTAACTCTTGAGTGAATGGCATGTGCAGGGATCAAACCCATGAGCTTGATATTATTAACACGATTCTCTAATCAACTGAGCTCATCTCAGGGTCAAGTAGTGGAAACAGTGGGCAAAATACCAGAAAATTAATTTTAGGAGGGTCCTAGACTGTTAGGAATATGAACCAATTATCTTATATGTGTTCTATCTCTGAATTTTATGATTAAAACCAGAAGAAATGTAAGCTAAGGCAGCATTGGTGTGCTTTTCCTACTTAATTATCCAGAAGTTTCTGCCCAAAAGATAAAAGTAATTTGGGCTACACAGTTATAGTGAAAATGAATAGGGGGAAGAGTGTGAAAAGATAAAAGAAAAAACACATTTTGCAGCAAAGTCATGTGTTAATTCAAGGCAACACCGTTTTCTTCCTTTTTTTTTAATGGCAGAATTCCCTGGTATCAGCTACCCTTTTCCTATTGACTGTGTAGGTCCTAGGCTTGAGAAGAGAGGCAGTTGTTGATGTGGTGTAAGTGTACAGCAGTGTCTGTACTGAGCGAGGCCGAAACTCTTTTTAGCCTGGCTGTTCGCTCCCCAGAGCGGCGAGCAGGGCAAGCAAAAAGAAGTACCACACAGGCAGGCTCAGCAGTAAAGGGTGAGGGACCTGTACCTTCCAAGCATTTAGACACTTTGTGTCTTCTCGCTACCCTTGCCTCTCCTCATTATTGTAATACAGGTCAGGATCCTGCTGCCTTGCTGGGTGTCAGGCAGGGAGGGCAGAGCTCAGGGGAGAACCAAGCTGACAGGTCTTTAAAAAGAAAACTTATTATCATTTCTCATACAATTTTTAAATACTGTAGAGAGAGGGGGAGAATTAGTTGTACGCAGTCAGCAAGGGCAGAAGAGGCTTTTTTGTGTACCAAAGCAAAACCAAACCTCATGGAGGTGTCTTTAGACTTAAACCCAAAGTTATCAAGGGCTGTATTTCAGAACTTGTTACACAGTTCAGGGCTTTGAAAACTCTTTGGGTGTAAAAAAGTGCAATGAACAGGAAAACAAGATATTGAAAACGAGTCACTATGTAAATTGAATAGCAAGTATTTTGTATCAAGACAAATTGTAACAAAGACCTCCTGTGGTCTCCTTCTGGAACTGCATACCCACTGAAGTGGCAACACAAACCAGCATGGAATTATGCTATTTATTACCTGATTGTTCCATTATGTACTCTAGAACTACTCACAAACTATTCTAGAAAATAAAATTAACCAAAGGCTATGCTGAAGAGTTATTTGCTGAAACATAGTTTCCTGATACTGTAACTAGTTCTAATGCATTTGTTTCTTGCTTCTGTTTTCTTTTTCTTTCAACATTGTTTTCACAGGAATTTTGGCTTCTTGGAGAAACAGTAGAAAATGCAAAACGAAATAATAAAGCCTGCTAAATACTTCTCGGAAGTGGAGAAGAGTGTGCTGCTTGCATTAGTTGAAAAATACAAATATGTGCTTGAATGTAAAAAAAGTGATGCAAGAACTATTGCTCTGAAACAACGTACCTGGCAAGCACTAGCTCATGAATATAATTCACAGCCCAGTGTATCACTGCGAGACTTCAAACAGTTAAAGAAATGCTGGGAAAATATCAAGGCACGGACAAAAAAGATAATGGCACATGAAAGGCGGGAGAAGGTAAAAAGAAGTATTAGTCCACTTATAAATACTCACATCGTGGGGAAAGAGAAGATTGCCAGCATAATGCCTGAGCAAATGTACTTTTTGCAGAGCCCACCAGAAGAAGATTCTGAATATCAGCCTGATGCTTCTAGTCAAGGTATAAATGTTACTGTAATGATGCAAGTAGTATTGTTTTTTATGTGACTTTGCCAGTGATTCTCTTTCAGCAGTCTAAATCTCTCTACCTAGCTGGGATTGCTGGTTATAGAAAAGTAATTTCACAGCTATGATATTACAAGATTTTGTGTGTTTCCTTAGGCCTCCAGGAGTTAAACTGAGGTTTTTGCAAAATTTTTTTCATCAGTTTCTGACATATCTGCTGCTTTGTGGCAAGCATCACAGTAGCTATCATGCTGGCTTTCCAGAGAACAGTCCCAAGGATATTCTTATCCTTTATAAAGTATCATTTTGCTGGTTAAAACAAACAAACAAACAAATCCACCAGCAGAAAACTGATACAGAATTGTCTGCTGCAAGAGTTCCCTGTAGGTCTTTCCTCCTTTGTTTTCAAGGACTAAAGAGAGTATGTAGACCCATATTTCACATTACAGTCCACTCTGGAGAATGGCCTATCTGGGAGAGTTCAGCACTACATTCTTTGTTTGGCAAGCATACATATAAGGAATAATTCAAAACCATAAGGGAGGGTGGCTACAACAGTTTCTTGGAAATTTTATTTTGTCAGGATCTCACATAGGAGACTGTCCTTGCTCAAAAGACAACAGTAGCTACGCTGTTAGATAACATTCTTAGAATGTCTCTTTCATAATTGTACTTACCATAATTAGTCATCAGGATTTGTAAAGGAATGTATTTTGAGACCCTCATTTGCAGTGGTAACTATTCTGTTCCATGAGTAACCTCTTTTATTTCAGAAGAATTGGTAGAGCCTTCTCAAAGTTAGAATAATGTATTTTTTTCCTAAAAATGTACGCTACTGTGTTTATGACATCTACAGTAGTGATAAGGAAGGAATAGGAGGTATTCTTCCTAGTATTCCCACACTCTCTTGGTATTCATGTTGATACAAGTCTTCACCTGAAACTGAGATCTTTCATAAAAGTATTGCAAGTCACATGTGGATTTAGCTTAAACAGCTGCATTAAGGTTTAACTCCAGGCTCAGCCACCTAAATTTAGGTATCCACTTATAAACGTCTACATTCACTTTAGTATTCTGAGCTCCCATTATAGCCACGGAGGTGAATCAACAGAGCCCAGAGTGGTTTGGTTCAGACCATTATACTCTTAGTATTCTGTAACAGAACTCTGGCATTAGGTAGTGGCTCCTGTACTTTGGTACACGAGCAAGGTTTAGGTGCGTGTATCAATAACGTATCACATTTGTGTTTCTTGAGGGAAGGGAATACTATAATACTTTTTTCCTCTTTTGTTTTGCAGAGTCATTTGTTGTCTCAAACAGAGAACTTTGTGATGAAGACAAAGAGCTGGTGCATTTTCCAGTATGTGAAGGTACCTCCCAACCTGAGCCTTCGTGTTCTGATGTCAGAATAGCAGCAGATAAGAACTACAGAAGTAAAGCATCTCAGGAAAGTGCTCTGAAAAAGATGCATGAGGAAGAACATCATCAGCAAATGTCAATTTTGCAACTGCAGTTAATCCAAATGAATGAAGTTCATGTGGCAAAAATACAGCAAATAGAAAGAGAGTGTGAGATGGCTGAAGAAGAACACAGGATTAAAATGGAAGTTCTAAATAAAAAGAAAATGTATTGGGAGAGAAAACTGCAGACCATCACAAAAGAATGGCCTGTATCATCCTATAACAGACCCTTTCCTAATTCACCTTAGATCATAAAGAGCCGGAGAGTCAGTCTGATTCACACGTTTATGAGTAACGCGCACTGGAAAGAAGGTTTTTTAATGTGAATGTACAGTGACAGGGTAGATGCCTGGCTGATAGTGAACACACTATGGCTCTTAATGTTTAGAGAAACAGTGGTATAGTCCACCAAGGGGAAAACTGTATTGTTCATTTATAGGTAGTTCTGATCTGTTTAACTCAGACATGCACAGTGTTCTAAAATGTGAACATATTTCCCCCCCCTCAGAACGCCCTTGTGAAATATAAGGTACTCCAGGTATTGTTACATTGGGTGTTCTTAAGAAAACTTAAGCTTTAAACATCAGGCTGTAGTGTTTATGTTGATTTCTAATAATCTCTAATAAACTCTCTCAATAAAAGAGAGTTGCTCTCTCTTATTGAGGCAGAACATGACTGACAGGTATCAGTTGGATCGTTATGTTGGGGCTTAGGAAAAAATAAACTTGTCTCTAGTTAATATAGTCCGTAACTTATTCTTCATAGAAGATGTGAAAATTGAGGAAGTAGCAAAAAGACCACTGTAGTAACTGAGCCTTTTCCTTCTGAAGAACAGTAGTGTTTCCCATCTGGCTGGCTGATTGAGAGAGTGGTTGTGGACTGGTCTTCTGGTTTTTTTAAGCCTTGACCCTTAAGAAGTTAAAAAGAAGGTGAATACTTTCTCAAAAGCCATTATGCTTGTTCCTTCTTTCCCAGGCCCATCTTGTATTGAAGTAGAATACAAAAATAGGAGGGTTAAATGGTGCTGCCAGTACTGTGTGCTGTTCACCTGGAGTCATTCTTAGAGGAAGAGCTTTTTAACAATTCGTAAAGCTCTTAAAATGCAGTGAGCTAGCCAGCCCATAGGCAGTCTCCCTCTATCTTCCTATGAAATACTTGATGGTGTAGCAGCTAGCTTGAGTATCTCAATCTCTCCTTAGCTAGAAGACTTAAAATTCACCCTCTTTTCCTTCACATAGGGTGGGAAGCAGTTCAAGGGAATCATTCCTGTCCTGAAGCACTGTTCTGTTTTGTTCTGTCCTGTGCATTATAGTGGTGTGTTTCTTGCATTGACTGTCAGTGCGGGGTGATGGACATGATTTGTATGAAGCATTCACATGAAGGTACCCACAGAGTTTGGGTGTCCAGAACAGTAAATAGTAGGAAAGCACAAATAAAGATAATCCTTACCCAGGCAATCATTTATTCTAGTGGGGCAAGGGTTAAGAGAATGTGAAATGCAGAACCCCGCAAAGCTTCATAAGACCTTCTGATGTGTGAAAACCTGTTTTACAGGAAGGTGTACAACCATCATTTGAAGCAGTGAGAAAAATTAACAAAACCATAAATTTTCATTGAAAAAATCTGAGTATCATGTTATTCAATAAAGTATTTTCAGATCATGATTCATAAGGGCAAGTCCATACTGTGAGCAATGTATTTAAATTAAAGTATGTTACAAAGCATACATTCCCAGTTACACTCCTCTCTCTTTCCCTCGATGTTCTTCCTGGTGGAGTGAGTTCCTTTTGGGTTTGTTTTGGGTTGGGTTGGGATTTCTGTGTGTATATGTTTGTGTGTGTGTGCGTGTGTGTTTCTTTTTCCCGTACTGCTTTCACTGCTAGTGATTCATCTTTCCAAGCACTGCCATTATCAACCACAGTACTCACTGTGGTTAACACTGTGGTACATGCGCTACTCCCTTCAACGTGCAAACACTAGCAATCACAGTGGGAGCTATTTATTACAACTTACTTTATATGACAGACTGAAAAAAAATATGCAGAGCTGCTGCAAGATAAAAAAGAATAGGCCATGTATGAAATCTGAAGACAGATCTTTTTGACTGTGAACTCAATTTTCTTACAAATTTGCCATATGAAGGAAGCACAGGAATTCCAAAGAAGGATATTGTTATGGACAGTTGTTTTCTTCCTGCAGAATAGAAACACTATGGGAAAGTATAACAGTAGAGGCAAAAGAAGTAAACAGAAGTGAAGGTCTTTTTGTTCTGAGATTGCATTCTGTGGTCTGAAAGATGAGTCAGTTATTTCAGTGATTATGACAATTGTTCAGGCACCATGCAGAAAAAAAGAATAGTGAAGACATTTGTCTTAACCAGTGATGGGATTCCTTCCACACTGGTTCTAAGTGAAGGCAATTTGAAACAATGAAATGGAAACCAGGTGTTAAAAGGTGACGAATGGAGACAATTTCAACACTGCGAACAGGGCAAGAATAGACAGACAATCCAGGTCCAGAAAAAATACTAAATAGTCCAGGGAGAATCTCATGAAATGTGAGATAATGGTAACTTGGACTCCTGGAAGTTATACCATGGCTCATGAAAGATTGTTTTATTTTTATATTTAAATATCCTTTAAAATGTGCATGTTTTCAAACAGTACTAAGTAGGCAATGCCTTGCTTTTTGGCATATTTTCTCATCTTAAGACCAAAAGTTACATTTCTTAAACCAAACAACAGATCATTTGAATTCAGTTTGTATTTGAAAGAAAGAAGATCACAAGAAAAAGATTAGAAAGAGCCAAGATAAAGATATGAAAGAAAGAATGATCAGTACATGCATAGCAGGAAAATGAGAATGTTACACCTAACACAAATTATACAAGATGGTTTTGTAGTACACATAACAGATGGTTCACAGGTGACACTGGTTCTTGTTTTCCCATTTGTAGACTGTTGGTTGCAGTAAGATTGGGTGCTAGACACAGAGAAATGTAAAAGATCAACAAGGTTAAGTAGTGTATCTCCTTGCCAGGCTTTGGCTTCTCCACTTCAAGGCTTTGTAAAGTGGTGGCTTTGTAATGTGGTGGAGTTTAAATTACTTGAGAAACGTGACTTTTACCTTTTTTGGTTTTGTTGTTGTCATTGCAATTACTTCCTCTGGTATTAGGGTTTACATTCTCTTTTGTTTGACTCTCCTATATGTAATATAGCCATCCTAGACAATATGTCCATTTGTTCCTCTCCCATTTTTCTAGATTACGTCATTCAAACATTCACATAATTGTGTTTTCCTGTTAAACACTTGGCCAAACTATTTACGAATTTTCTCAAGGTTTTTCCACAGATAAAATACATCAATATTTTAAGAAGAACATGCCTTTTCTTCTTTGGGTTTGCTATACAAGTTTTTGTCAAGAATGAACTTAAAAGATACACTGAGCAAAATAATCTCTGCTCAACTCCATGTGCAAAAATGTGTACCACACATGTAGTGGCCATTGTTCTTAGCCTCTGCGTACTTATGAAGAGAAACAATGACCTTCTAGACAAGATGTGGTGAATTCCTTTATGCTTCCCAAATTGACATGAGCCTAGCTCCAGGTGTCTCTCCTTGGAGGTCATCTAGTTTGTTGCCTGGTATAAAGTTTTTCATTTGTTGTTTTGTTTGGTTTTTTTTTTCTCCTGCATTTATTCCTTATGTCTCTGTTCTCACTTAGCTTTTTAACCAGCAATATGAACTGGGGATTTCATTCAGAGCTATGTGTCTTGCTCTTTCCTTTCTCTTGCTCAGACTGCCTATATCACCTATATCACAACATTTGAACATGAAACAGATGTTCCTCTGTTGTCACCTTCCCCTTCCACAGAAAGCACGGTTAGTTGGTCTTTTATACACAGCTACCCATACATTCTGGGTTCTGCACACAGGCTAGGAAACAAAGGATTTTGAAAAGAGCTTAGCACTGAGAAAGGTCTGTAGAGAGAAGATCACTTTCTCCATGTAATTCTGGAAGAACACTGTGACTAAAATCATTCATCAGGACCAGAGCTAACACAGGGTGTTGAAGCTGTGTAAGTGGTGCTGATTCTTCATAAATGCTTGGGGCTCTGAAGAAGTTAGGCTTGAGGTTTTCTGATAATGAAGTTCCTCATTTCTAGGTAGCTGAAGGATCTCATTGAAAGACTTTCACAGATACTTCCTCAAATCAAAGCTCTTACCTTGACAAAGAATCAACGCATCCTGCCGTCTGTTGTACTACTTCTTTCAATGCCCAGGCTGCTCTATGACAGGAGCAAGGGATCTCGCTGCTTGACTGAAATCCTCTGTCTGATGCTCCTTCCTATACTGCAGAGATGTGTTTAGCCAGGGCTGAAAACACAGCCCTCCCCAGCCACTGCTCGGAGAAGCAATCCTTACAGAGCAGGTGTACCTGGTGTGGCTGAGCTCAGCATTCAGATCTTCCCATTGCAGTCCAGTGACCACAGAAAGAAAGGATGGTTCAGGGCTACCCTTTTCTGAGCATGTAGGGCAGCTAAGGATGTTGTGCTGAATTTTTCAATGATCATTCGTCTTTGTGTGTTTCTAATACCAAATTTTATCAGTCTCCCAGGGATTTGTATGATGATGTAGGTATTTTTCAATGATCTTTTGCAGATAATTTTTGCATATAAGTCTTAAAATAATATTTAATTGAATTTTTTTCCAGACAAATCCCTCACAAGTAGTCCCATGATTTCATATTTTGAGCTAGCATGCTCAAAGATATTTTTATAGGACTGATGCATCTTAGTTTCTTTCATAAGAAAAAACATGTATTTTCACACTATTTTTCTGTTTCCTCTCAAAGCAGCTGAGTGCAAATTCACACATCATCACTCTTCCTGAACTTCGTCTCTAGTTAGATATTCAAAAACATTTCTGTGCAAATTAAGTACTAATGCATACAAAAATTAATACATTTAGGCTAACAAAATAAACGAAGTACCAAGATGATATAACAATATGCAGCAACTGTTAATATAATTAAAAAGTGTTAGAGAGGACAACCCTGTAAATGTCATAAAAAGAAAGAAGATAATTTGTTGCTATCTATAAGAATAGGATAATATATTTTTACAGTGAAAGCAAGCACTGGTGTCTGTTTCTGGTATCACAGGTTGACTTCTGTGTTGCTAATCAACTTGATTCTCTTATATCTAAGGAAGGTGCACATGGAATTGTGGACAGATTTCTGGGCCTAAAATAAGAGCTATTAAATAGAAATGTACTAGCTGTGGCTCTGAACATTTTACTGGTCTGATATTGAAGGGATTAGGCATCCCACAAAATTATCAGTCATGTTATCAAGAAATTAAAAACTTAAAAAGGACAAAAAAAAAAATAAAAGGACTGGTATGGGGTTCAGAACAAGTCAGAAGTGAAGACAGCTCTATCTGCCCCAAGATGTGTCACACATGTCAAAGAGTTTCCCTGCATGGTCTTCACTTCTATTTCCTTTGAGACTCTGGACATCTTTATCATAGAATTCACAGCTCCAAGTGCCTGACAATAAGAAAAGTAGCCACTTTCAAATAGGAATACTGCCGGAGTTATTAGACCTCACTTTTTACTAAACTGAAGTTGAAAAATTTTCCAAGACTACATTATCCAGACACGCATGCTATGCACTGTGGAAAGGCACATGAAATCTGTCCAGCACATAGTCTGCCAAATGGCATAGGTTATACAGCAAGAAAAAGGAAAAGGTTGTCCACCACATAGCAGTTGGTCATAAAACTGTTATACTGAGGAGGGTGTGTGGATGGATCTCACCAGACGGTTAACCTCTCTAAGAATAAGAAATATTTTTGCCAAGTCTTCTAATCTGTCAAAACAGCCACAGGACAAAAACAAGGGAAACAAAAATGAATTAAACAGTCAAAATAGCTAGAAACAATCTGTTGCCTTCTTGATGAAGAGCTGGCTAGATACAAAGCCTACACACACATATTTAGGGAAATAACTCTCTAATTTAACAGAAATAAAGCTAAATAGATTTCTAGATTGTCCTTATTTAATTTAGGTGATTTTTTAAAAATGTTGTTTGAGGTTTTTTGTTTTCCTTTTGTTGTTCAGTCCAGCTTCAGAATACTTGTGTGCTTCAGTCTCTAACCAATTGTTAGAGCACCTCATTAATCAAATTGGTTTGGCAAGAGAGTAGAATTAGATTTGTATTCAGCGCAACTTGAGATTGATTGTATTCTACAAATCTTCAGATATTTCTTCTCAGCTATTTTTGGACAGCCCTGAATCTTAAACTGGAATGATACACCAATTTAGTAGTAATTTATTATTTATTGGCACTAACAAGTTGACATACAAGCTGCTCAAGCTCTGCTCATTGTTTGGTCATGTACAAATCCCTCTTCTTTTCTTAGAATTATGTTCTGAAATCATGTACTACGCCTCAAATGGACCAGCTGAATCGCCCATATAAGTTCCTGCCGCACATTGTGTGTCACACTATAATGTGGGTGGGAAAAAATCCTGCTTCTGTTTAATTGTGGACTTTTGAACTTTTGACCCATTACTCTCACCAAAGGTTTTGCTAAAAATTACTTTGTTCTATTGGACACCTCTGTGTTCCCACTGACCGGTCCTTCAACCCAATGAACTGCATGGCTTGATAACTTTTGAATTCCAATCCCATGGACTGTACGAAATCTGAGTTGACACACCAAGATAATTTCCAT